ATTAATGTCTAAACTGATTCACAGCTAGCTCCTTTCTCAAAAATAGTTTCTTTGGATCATTTATAATAAGGATGGGTTTAGACTGCGTCACTTCCCCTACTTTCAATCCTTACAAACTATATTTCGTTTTACGATAGATAGGTGACACCTACGACATCGAACTTTTTTAAGTAACACTAGAGAAGTCACGCATTAGATTGAGCAGTCCAGCTTCGTGTTATTCTGGCATCCATCTGGAGCTATGTTGACTAGCTTCTGCTGTTCGCCCATAACGTGCTGGTTCGTAAAAAAAGGGAGGGGAGGGGTCTGTATACCGGAACGCACGAGAAGATCGGTATCACTCTTCCAATTCTCACGCACAAGTGAAAAATTGTGGGAGTATTTTGTCGACTGTTGACGAGGTGGACCACAATGCTTAGCGTGACGTGAAATACTCCGTTCAAATGTGCCGCAGTAGGTAAGACCTCATGCGGACTTGTCAGAGCCCAACCAGGGCGTATGCTATGAGTTAGCGTTGGCACTCTTTCAGTCCAGTACAATAATCAGCATTCTGTGGAGGGTCAAAAGGAATGATCATTCCTACTCGGTACTATGTAGTGGCAGCACCGAACACGGCAGTCATTCCGGAAACTGGGTAGAAGGGGATTTTAAATTGTTTGGCGCAAAGCGCACAACCTTACAAGAAAATCACTCAACCAGTGATAATGAGTGCCTTTTGTAGCTTTAAAATCGACATTTTCTGTCTGTCTGGAGTAGGACTGCTTGCGTTTGATAAAGGGCTAATACAGTCAGGATGAATTACCGTCTCTACCATAGTGGTATGATAACTGCACTAGACATAACGGAGCAGATGAACAGAGTTAGCCAAACGCTCTATCGACCCGAGGAGGGACCAGTTCATCAAAAACTACTGTAAAATAGGCCGCAGGCAACAGGCCAGGGCCTATCGTGGATCGACAAGGACTCGGCTTTACCTAACAGTTATAAACTGCCCCCTTTGGTACTAGTGCACACAGGGAGGAAGGGGGGGGGTACTCAATGTTAAGTAAAATAATAAACCAGATCTGAACCTTCTTTTGTGGCTATTAATATATTAGTGGGAGGCGGAAGGAGGCCTTTGATTACCAGTCAAAACATGACACACAAGGAAACGGTGAAACAACTTTCAGCCTACCAGTATCCGCGAGTTTATCAAGTGACAAAGTGGAAGCCAATTGAAAACTTCAGTAAAGCTGTCTGCCATATCAGCGTTGTACTTTGACTTCACTTCGCCCTCAAACCCGTACATTTGATTCATGTTCACGGATTCGTGGTTGCCTGAAAATAAATCGTCGGTTTAGGGACAACAAAAAGAAGCCTCCCGAAAGTCTTCTCAAGAAGCAACCGTCCAACTTACGCATAAAAGGACCACTTTTTCGAGAAAAATTTACAAATAGAGGGCCTGCTAACGTACTTTATGCGTCACAAAAATAGAAAATATAACTCAAGCGAGGCTAAAATACTGACTAGTGTATACGATAGCGCGGAGGCAACCATCACCGATTAGTCATTTAAACTTTTGAGCACATGTCAAGATGATATTTGTGCGGTTTACTTTCTATTGAGGTGCAATTTCGCACCGGAACGAGCACAGCCTTGTTCGGTTGCGAAGTACTCTAGCATTTGTGTAGTCACTCTGCGGTGCACTTACAATAGCATACTGGGGCCTAGAACTAAACAAAGAAACCTAAAACGATTACAAAATAAAGGAGTCCTTTGTCTGCGCCAGAACAATTGTTGCCATCGGTCAAAGAAATGAATGGGTGGGAAGTATTTTTGTTGTCTCTCTGACTCTGCTCGGGAGAAAGGTGAAAGGCGTGGGCAAGCATAAGTATCCCCGAGAAAAAGCACTTTTAAAGACAAGACTTGTTGGAGAAATTTATTCCCCTGGTAAAGAGCACATTAATCGCAGGACTTCGATGCGGACGTTTATCTAAGCAGTCGCCAGTCGAAAAGTCAATGTCCCCGAAACCACTACAGATTTTAAGGCCCTCAAAAACTACTTCGCCTCACATGTTTAATGACAGTAGACCACAGAAATCTTCAAGCGCTGGAGTGAGAAATAGCCGAAAATCGCAATGTTCAACTGGCATTTCAAGAACGATTTGGGAATGAAAGGGACCCCGTTACAGCCATGAAGCACGGACCTATTTTACGGAATAAATACATTACCCAAGAAATATTGCAAGCTTCTTATATGCTATTTTACCAGTAGCTGGGCAGTCTCTTGAAATGTGACCGTATGAAAGCTTTTTTTTTATCCACGTCTCCATCAAGAAGATCTATCAAAATCATCCTAATTAAGGACATATCCAACGATGCAAAAATTAAGGGCATCATTCCGAAAAAACTCTGCTAATCACCAAGCAGGTAATTAGCAGCCTACTGAATATTCTATTAACCCTTAGTAGACATAATACCTAAGAATTTTCCAAAACGGTTTTTAAAAGATAATGTACCGAAGTTACTTTATTGATTATGTCCTTTGCATTAGAACTTTTAGAAATTAAAATTGCTTGTTGAACATAAAGTTTTGTACTTTCTACATTTTCTCTGTTTAAGAAAACCAATATTTCTTTCGGCAAAACTGTCTATATGGCCGCCTAAACATCCACTCCCCCGCCCGAATGTCCTACGGAATTGTTGGTTAAGCATTTAGTTCTTGGTTAAGGAGTGTAAATGAATATTTAATTGTGTTGAAAGTGATCAAAGAAAGTTAAATTAAAGTAACTTATAGTTGTTTTAATGAGCTAAATAGAATCAACTCCATCAACATAAACTCCTGTTGCTCCGGCAACTGCGATTACCCCTTTCAGGACGTGAAACTGAATGCGCAGAAACTTTTAAAATAAGCACACAAAAATGCACACATTTGGAGTTGCGACTTTTTGCCCCGAGTATCCTTCGTTTAGGCGACCCAGGAGATGCTCATCCTATGATGTGCGAATTGATCATCTGGGAGAATCTTCCAAGCTAATTACCACTCCAAGCTCATCTAGACGATCGTTTCGAGCTCAAAGCACAGCAGTTTCGAAAATCAATTTTGAAAGTATGGGTGTTCGTTTCGGCAGACATTTAAACGTCTTTTGAGACGCCGCTCGCATTAACTGCGCCTACTTTCGTCGCCTCATCTCGTGCGTACTTACGAACCTCAGCATCTATGACGCACAGACTATTAGCCTGTGTATTGCCCAGCACAGAAAATTGTTCCGTCAGACACAAACTTGGTCAATTCTCTGCACAGCTGCATGAAGCCACTGCGAGGGGACGGCTCAGCTCATCACTTGATCCCACAATCACAATATATGTGCCAGGCTTAGAACACAACTAAGCTGGGAATTGAAATTTCAGAATCGAACGCGACGGCCATGTGACGACTGGCTAGGAGACATCGCCCGCCTTCTTTTCTCAAAAGGTCAACCAATAACGCGAGGTCAGATACACTTATCGACGCGAACATGTGTGACGCAAAAATAACTTAGATTGTACAAAGTATCAAAGAAGATGGCGCTCCGAGAATGAGATACTCTTAGCAACACTACAATCAGATGACAAAATCCGTTTCTTCGGGCCGCCCGGGGCCTGCGTGACGGCTAAGTGGGATTTAATGACGGGAGGATAAATGCAGTACAAAGCATCGGCGACATGTCACCGTCAACATTCGAATCAGAGCGCAAATGGAACGCAAAGTGAACATGATTCCCGCCCACATTCGCAGACAGCCAGTCTAATAATTTATTCCGGGAGGTAGTTAATTATGTGCTCTCCCAGCAGGCAGCAGATGGACGACGCGCAGGCGAACCCTTGCTTGCGCATAGGCGCACGTCATAGCCCGGCGAACACAGCTTGGTAACCAATCAACAGAAAAGTTTATATTTAGCAAACAACTATTTTTCATGATCTCATGGTGTTTTATTGTGACTGACGAGTATCCACTGCCTTACGGTCTATCCATGAGAGCGATCACAAGAGAACAACCGTCCAAGAACCAGATAAATTAACAGAGAACTGCCAGCACACAGAACCGGGAACAATTAAGGATGGTATTTCCGACAAAATCATAGGGCCAGCAATGAAGGATGGTGGAATGGTTCCCTAGCGCCAAAGGGGTTTCGCCTGTCCAACACAGGTTACGATTTTTCCCACAGCTTGCAAATTTCATGCATCACCTAGCCCGGAAAGGGCCTCGAGATGGATTAGCCGGCCACTACTCGTTTCCTTTGCTGATTGTGCGAAATCGTCTGAACATAAACTAGCCTCGTAACTGGACCGTATGCAGGCCCTTACGAGCATCAAGTTGATGTTGTTGCTTTTAATTATGCCTTCATCTGACACTCTTCACGACTTGGTCGAGAAAAGTAACCCAAGTCAATTTCTTTCGTCACGCATGGACATGACTTGTACTTGTTACGGCTGTGATCATGCCTGATCTAGCCGGCCTCAATGAT